ATTAACCCATCCTCTCTAAAACCTTACAAAGACAACTAGTCAAAGTGATGGGACAATAATTAGAAGGAATCTTGGGATCCTTCCCAGGTTTAGAGAAAGGGAGGACAATAGCCTGGTGCCAAGCATCAAGAAAAACATGCTCCTGCCAGATCCGGTTAAAAATAACCAGAAGAATAGCAACAGAGGCAGGAGAGAGATGGCGCAGCATCTCATAATGAACAGATGTGCTACCAGACCGATGAAGAGCAAGTTTGAGTTCCACCAGTATAAAGAGGCAATTATAATCACAGAGACAATCGGCCCAAAAGGAAAGAGGTGATTGCTCTGCCCAAGACTTGATGGCCATGAAGGCAGGGGAAGAAACAGAAGTGCTAGAAAAATGAGAAAAGCTGTGGCCGAGAGCATCGGCAATGCTCTGGACATCAGCAACTTCCTGGCCATTGGAGAGTAAGATGGAAAGGGGAAGAGAAGCATACCTCCCAGTGACTTTCCGAATCTTGTCCCATACAGTTTTGGAATTGGTGGTAGAAGCGATGCTAGTAGTGAACTTAATCCAAGACTCCTTTTGGATTTGACATCGAACCTGCCGAGCATGGGCACGGTACCGCTGATAAACAATGCGGTTAGAAAGAGAGTGATACCGTCGGAAGGTATCCCAGGCTAGTTTTATGAGCCTTCCGTGCCTCCTGGCAGGTAGGACTCCACCATGGATGAGGATACCATGGAAAAAGTGTCGAGGTCTTAGGAATAAAATGAGCAACTGCGTAGATGATACAGTCAGTCACTGCAACCACACAGTCATCTATTGATGGCAGACAGACAAAGCCAGGATCAAGTTTGGAGAGAGAGAGGTGAAAGATGGCCAGCAAGCCTGGTCCAGCTTCCACTGTGGCACCTGGGTCAGGTGGCATCGACCATGGCCAACGTCCCTCATAATGAGAGGAAAATGATCACTGCCCTGTGGGTCACTGTCGACCATCCAAGAAAAGTGAGTGAAAAGTGAAGGGGAGCAAATTGGGAGATCAATGGCAGTAAAAGACTGAAGAGAGAAAGGTTGTGATCTGAGAGCATACGCTCTATGGAATGACCTCTCCCATCAATATCAGCACCATTCCAGAGGAGTTGTGTCCATTAAAGTTTCCCAGAAGTAAAAAGGGAGATGGCAACTGGTCAATAAGAGCATCAAGGTCCAACTGATCATAAGACTCCCTAGGAGGCAGGTAGAAAGAACAAACAGTGATGGTACGACCTAAAAAAACACGGATGGCTACGACCTCCAAGGGTGTATCAAGGGACAGAGATAAGTAGGGCACATGCTGTTCGACCAGCAGTGCCACCCCTCCATGCACCCATCCATCACACAACCTGTCATTCCGGTACAAAGAAAACTGCTGAAGGGTGACTGTATCGGAGAGACACACGGGATGATGGGAGTCAATCAAGGCCTTAGTGTCGATATTAGAATGAAAACCTCGACAGTTCCATTTTTATGTAAGTGAAGGACAACAGGGTGGAGAACCCTTCGGTTTATGACCACACCGTTTTTCTTTACTAGATGGATCCTACCCTTGATCGAGTGGGCAGATCTCTGTCATCAGAGTGAGAATCCAATGACTGAGGGCATGATCGATTGATCATCTTGCATTTAGGGGCCAAAGAAGGACCTGAGCGGACACCAGAGGCTGGTGCCCAAGTAGGTTGACCCAGGCAGTCACTGGAAGGAATAGTGGGAACAGAGATCAGAGTAGACGTAGACCAGTCAACTCTATTACCCATGGAGGGCAGAAGACCCCTCACATGGTATGAAAAAAACTGAAATGGAGGCATGGAAAGGTCTGTCTGCACCCATGCTGTAGCAGTGGAGCGTAGTGCAGTGGCATATGTCCGAGATGGAGTAGGGAACAATAGCTTCCGAGCCTCAGAGTAAGAGATGTTATTAATAGTCTTCAAACGCTGTACCTCTTTCTCCTCCACCAACTTAGGGCAAGACCTAAAGTAAGAGGGGTGGGAACCACTACAATGCACACAATGAGGGTCCAGTGTGCACTCATAGGCATCATGACCCTTGCCACCACAACGAGCACACATCACAGAACCACGACAAGATGTCTTTGAGTGACTGATCTGCTAGCACTGGAAACATCGAAGAGGGTTAGGAATATAGGGCCATACCTTACAATTAAAATAACCCGCCTTAACAGTGGCAGGTGGACGTGGTGATAAAAACGTCAAAATTAGAACTGAGGTTGGCACCATAATATCATCTTGATGAGTGGAGATCCTTCGAACAGCTGAAACTCCTTGGCTGGAGAAGACAGCAAGGATCTCTGACTTGGAGATGGTCTTCAAGTCCCTCTCGACAATAACTCCTCATGAGGAATTCAAAGAAGCTTGGGGAGTAACCTCAATGGGTATATCCCCAATGGTCTTAGAATTCAGGAGGAGTTTACTGTGTTTAGGTGTTGATGTTTCCACCAAGATATCCCCAGAACATAGCTTCTTGACTGACTTTGGAGAGCCAGCAAGCCCCTCTAATCCCATTCTGAATAAAAAAGGGAGACATTTGTCCTAAAGATTTATCGGACAGTGAATGCAGGATCAGGAAGAGAGGTACATGTGTATTTTATGATGGAGATTTATCGGACAGTGAATGCAGGATCAGGAAGAGAGGTACAGGTGTACTTTATGATGGAGACTGCTGTTCAGGGTCTTCTAGGCATGGTCATTTACCAATTAGCAGAGTTTAACTTTTTTTTATTTGGATTGGGGGATCCATAATAAAGAAGAAAGATTCATTCCCCGCTGACCACACCCGCCATGGAGTCCTATGAGGGGATGCACTACAATGTCAAACAAGGACACTGCAGCAATGCCAGGGTTTCATGA